AACTGCCAATGCAGCTCTTAGAAGAAATACCACCCAAAGGCTCCTTAGGGTGCGTGTGTGATGAGCTGTCAGCTGGCTCACTTTGCAATGAGGGAATGAGGGAGACCCTGGGGGTGGGGGGAGATGGGTTGAGACAACCATCTCAACGGTGGACTGGGCCCACAGAGGACTGCGAGGAGGTGCAGACGTGGGCAATGCTGACTGTGTTATCCCTGTGGGGCACGAAGAATCAGAGCCAGCTGGGGGACAGCCAACAACACCCAACAGTCCATCCAACAGCACCCTTTTGGCTGAGCACACGGACGCTTGATTCACTGTAGGGGTGACCTTGGAACGCATGCGACTTGGAGCGTTGTGCCTGTTGCTTGGGAAGACCAGGCAGGAATACTCAAACCCAAGACCCACCAACCAAAAACCCTCACTGCATTGAGCTGATGCTGACTCATAACCAGCCGGGAAGACAAAGTAGAACTGCCCCTGTGGGTTTCTGAGACTCTAAATCTTTGTGGGAGTAGGAAGCCTCATTTTGCTCCCCCAAGTAGGGGGTGGTTTTAACTGCTGACCTTGCGGTGGGCAATCCAGTGTGTAACCCACTTATGGAGAGAACCCCCGGGCTCCTTACAGTAATGCCGAGCTCCTGGTAACACACCAGCATGCCTTTCGTTCAGTTGCTTTGTTCGCATTTGCTTAGCATTTGACCGCAAGAAAGGTGCTCCTCGGTACAACCCACTATACACGACCAAAAGGCCAGTCTTTGCCCCAGAATCCAAGTTCAGAAGGCAGGAAAGGGCAGGAAAGAAGGCGAGATGGGCGTGGGGAAGCCAGGGAGGACGTGGGAAGCGTTGGGACACACGGAAGGGACTGTGAGGAAGGAGCAAAGCAAACTGTGTCGACATCCTCGAATAAGAAACCAGTGTGCTCTGCACACTGTCATCCAAACCACCACCACCAGCACCACAAAAAGATGGTGAGAAGCCAACAGAAGGGTCGAGATCAGGCCCAAGACAGGGAGATGGGAGATGAATTAAGAGGGAATGCTCTATGAGAGTCTCAGTGGTCGGGGGCAGCCGGGGGCCGTGATTCATTCAACGCAAGTTTACTGGCAGTCACTGCATGCTCCACCAAGCCGGGGCACTGCTATGTCCAAGATCAGCAGGGTTGTCCAGAAGGGACTGGTTCAAGCAGAGATTCCAGACAAAACAGCCGAAGAAGAAAGTGCTGGCAACCCACTGCTGCTGGACATCCGCTTATCAAACCCATAGCGACCACAACAAAATAGCTCTGGGAGATGAGTCCCTTAGGTCGGAAGGCACTCAAAACCATGACGACGGCTGGGGCAGCCTGGCCGCCTGTCGCACCGGGGAGCCGACACAGTGGTACCTGAGGACGACATTTGATGATAGGCTGTGTTAGGTGCTGGCAGTCGCCTGAAAGTCCTAGTGGGGGACACAAAAGCCGGTGACGAAGCAGAGGGGACACATCCTGGCCAGTTTACAAACATTTATGCTTGTAAAGGTGCGCTGTACCTCTGTCGACTTCAGGAATTCTATGAAGCCTGTGTTATTACTGCGTTGTGCCGGCAAGTCATTTCTGACTCCTGGTGCCCCGTGCTGCGTGCGGCTGAGGAGAATGGCTCCATAGCACTTTTGAGGCTGTGATCTTCAGAGAAGCCGATGGCCAGGTGTAGTCTGGTGGGTGTGCTCCTTAAGGTGGCTTTAGGACTCGGCCGGGGGAGGGGGAAGTCTAGCTTTGTCCAAAGTCCTTCCCTTGCCCAAAGGCACAATTTACTATCTTGAAGAATGTGAATTAATAGCACCGTGTAGCTAGATGAATACAGGATGATAAAATATGTTGCAGTTCAGTATGGTAAAAAATGTTTCGGAAGACTACTTTTTAGTTCCCTGGTAGTATTTATTTCAAAACACTTGGGACCTTTTTCCTCCGGATGAAATTACCAACCCACCGCCAGGGAGCCAATTCCGATGTCTAATGACCCTGCGGGGCAGAGGGCTGCTCCCTGGGGTTTGTTTCTGAGGCTACACAATGTCACAGGAGTAGAGAGCCTCATTGTTCTCCCACGTAGCAGCTAGTGGAGGCCAACTGCTGACCTTGTGGTTGGCAGCCTGAGTTGTAACGCATTCCTCTCACCAGGGCTCAGAAGAAAAGGCTTCTCGAATGGACTAGCAGTACTAACCACTTTCTGAGAACTAACCAAATTCTCTGGCATTGAGTCAGTTCCGACTGATGGTGGCCCTGTAAGGTGGGGGGAGCTGCCCGGTAGGGGTTCTAAGGCTGTCACCGTCACAGAGACGGATGGCCACGTCTTCCTCCCTGGGCCGCTGGGTGGGTTCCAACACCTGGCCATTTGGTGAGCACATTTAACCACGATGCCACCGGGACTCCTGCCTAGTCATTACATGGATGCAGCCGCAGGTCCTCTTTTACTAACCAAGTCACCAAATGTCAGAGAAAAGGAAGAGGCTATGGTGACACAGGGAAGGGGCTTTAAACAGGGACACGTGAGAAGAAAGGAGTGACTTCCTTCCCTCATGTCCCTTTTGCTAAACACACGCTGAACATTCACCGTTTTGTAAACAACTGTGACATGTTCTGAGTCTGAAAATGATGTCCGGTGTAAAATTAGTAAGGTATTCACATTTGACTCTCTGGATGGTGCGGATGACTTCTGTTTGACTACAGTAGTTACTTGGGCTACTAACTGTCAGGTCGGCGGCACGGAACCACCAGCCACTCCTCAGGAGAAAGACGGGGCTCCCTGCTCCTGCAGAGAGGTGCCCTTTCGGAAACCCACAGGGTGTCCTACATGCTGCCCTGTAGTGTCCCGAGAACGCCATTCACTCGATGGCAGTGAGTTTGGTGTTTCGGTTTGCTGACCTAAAAAGGAGCCCGGATGCCCCCAGGGTTAAACGTTGAGCGACTGACCAAGAGGCCAATGGTTCAAATTCTGCAGCAGTTCTGCGGTCTGCTCCCAGAAGGACGGGCAGTTTCAGAAACCCAAAGGACTAGAACCTGGAAGAGTCCTGTTTTATCCCATGGGGTCTCTATGAGTTCGAATCAACTGATTGACAGTGGGTTGGGTTTGGAGAGCTGGAAGGACCCATCCAGTTGCACTGCGGAAGAAAGGCTGGTGATCTCCTTCCATCACGGTTATGGCTATGGACGCCCCAGGGAGCTCCGCTGTACGTGTAACGCATGGGGTCGCTGTCCATCAAGAAAGGGATGGGTTTTTGGTTTAACGTTTTACATTCCCTGACAACTACTAAGGAGGAAGCAGTGGCAGGCTGCTTCTGTAAAGATCACAGCCTTGGAAACCCGATGGGGCGGCTCTAGTCTATCCTATAGGATCTCTGAGAGTCAATATTGACTCATGGGCACATAACGTAGCGCCAACCGTTCCTACATTAAGAGTTTTCCTTTGGGTAAGAAAACAAGGTCTGTTCACAGCAAGTAATTATAACTTCTGGTCAAAAAACTCATCAGCCAGACATATCTCATCACAGCAAGTAATTTCAAAGTTTTATCATATAGGTATCAAAAACTAATAAAATGTAAACACATATTTAACAAGGGTTGCATTTATATTTATATGTAACCTCGGTGGAGGACTTCAGATCAGTCGAGGGAAAAAATATATTTAAGCACAAAAGCGAGACCAAACCAAGAAGCAAGATTCCGTTTAAGCAGCCCCTCGCCCGGTGGCTTTCAGACCAGAGGGTTGCCAAAGAGGCCCGGAGAGCCAGGGGACCCTGAGAGGGGGCGCCATCCCGCAGCAGTTCTCACCACACCCTCAGAACCAGGACGGCCCCTTGGACCACCACACGGCGTGATTTCTCCGACACTGAAAGTAAAGCCACTGCCCGCCTCAAGTCCGTTCGGACTCATGGTGACGCCGGAGGACGGGGTAGAACTGCCCCCGTGGGTTTCCAAGATGGTAGCTCTTTATGGGAACAGAAAGCCTCCTCTTTCTCCCGAGGAGCAGCTGGTGGTTCAAACGCCTGACCTTGTGGTCAGCAGCCCAGATCTCCCCGCTGCAGACAGGAAACATTAATAGCAGTTCTCGAGAACCCTGACGGAAACTAGAGACCTGGCCACCGTTCGTTTGCATGGATACATCCCTTAGGCGACAAGGGAAACAGGGACCCACTTAAAAATGTCAAGCAACCCAAGTGATACGAGTCTTGCTGGGAGTACCACAAGGGTCAGTACCTGTCTTATCCGGTGATCAAAGAAAGCTTACAAATACTGAGCAGAAACGACCTTTTCCCATTCTGTTCTGTCACACGGGGTCGATAAGAGTCAGAATAGACTCTGACCTCTAACGAGACTCAGGACATTGAGGACACCGGGCGGATAGCTTTGAAAGCATCCGTGATGAATACCAGATGGACCTGTACCAGGACAACGGGGAAGGAATTCAGGGCAGAGGGGGGGAAATAAAGCAAGCTCACAGGTACTTATCAAACACCCACCTGTTCCCGTGGAAACAGATCACTGCCCACTTGGAGAGAGGATTGGGATAAAGTGAGGCGAGACTCCTCATTTGGGAATAGTACTTCGTTTCTTTTCATCATCCTTCAAGTGAATGTAATCAACTTACTGTGTTTATACTACGTTCTATTGACATTGGAGGGCTGGGCCTGATAGAGAAAGGAGGGGATCATGGGAGGCAATTGCCCTTCACTGAATTTCGGTGACATCCAGGTACTGGGGGAAAGCAGACCCAGGTACCTCCGGTTTACCCAGTCAACATCTGTCTATTAACACATGGTAGGTAGTTACATTTCAGGGGAACGTACTGACACATCTGTTTATCCGGAGTCTAAGTAAATCTCTTGGTAATTAGCATCTAAACCAGCTGAGAGGGAAGTGGACCAAAGGATCGCGTGGCAGGAGCATCAACAGCATCAGACATATGGCCCGCTTTGAAAGCCACCCAAACCAAGCTGCACGGACGGTTTTCAAGCAGAAAGGCGTCTTACGATTTGTAATTGTTGCACCATTTCTTCTCGGTAGGCTAGCTCCCTTTTCATCTGGTCCTGAAAATTATCTGGTGGGAGAGAGGAATAGAGAAAGAGATTAATTAAGGGGCTCAATCTACTTTCAAGTGTAGTTAGTGAAAACACTGCTGGAAGTCTCTGGCAGCCCTCTGGCCCCGGTTTATTTTCAGTTAATCGTATGGTTGTTTACAAAGTGTTCTGGCCTCTGTAATTGACCCATAATAGACACTGACTCCTGAAAAGGTGAGGGGTAGCTTGTATTTCACACCCTGTCTAGCGTGATCGCTTGCATACCGTAATTACCAGAAATGCCTGGTGGTCACACGCCTTAACTTCTGCGCACCTAGGCAATTCACAGCTGCCGGTCTGGGCTTTGTGGGCTGGACCCACACCCAGCGCCAGGGAAGCAGCAGTCAAGAAGTCAAAGGGCGGACAGCACAGGGCAAACCTGCTGCTCAAGACCCCTGTAAGTGTTGGAGAGCAACGACGCCATGTTGAGGTCCAACCCGACCAAAGCCATCGTCCTCTCGATCGCCTCCTATGCATGCGAAAGCTGGACAATGAATCGCGAAGACCCGGAGGAGTGAACGCAGCTGAATCACATGGTGCGGAAGAATCCGGAAAGCACGATGGACTGCCAGAAGGGCGAAGGAGTCCGTCTTGGAAGAAGCGCAGGGGCATGCTCCTGAGAAGCGAGGGGTGACTAGCCCCGGGATGTGATGAGCCTTGGTAGGAGACCGGCAGCACCGACAAGCCGATTCTGGCAGCTGCAGTTAGGGTAAAACATAACACCTGTCCTCACAGCTCCCTTTTGATCCGTTTGAAAGCTGTTTTTAATATTTCGTGCTTTCTTTCAATGAAGGTTTTTCTATGTTTTGTTTCTATTTTGTATGTTTCCTACGTGACATCCAGGATGGGTAACTCTACAGAGACAGTGCCTGGATGACAAGGCTTACCTAGGGGCATGGCGGGGGAGAGGGGGGCAGCAAGGGGAGCTGGCCACCATGAGTGCGAGAAAGAAGAAAAGGTTCTGAAAAGGATTGTGGTGATGACCGCACCATCGTGACCTGTTTGACCTACTCAACGGCGTGATATGTGAATTACACACCAAGCAAAACTATGCTTTAAAAAGACGAAGTCATGGTGAGACGTTGGCTCATTGACTTTGGATTCATCATTCGGAAAACCCATCCCTGGGAAAGGACACGCCGTTTGGCAAAGCAGAGGGTCTGGGAGAAAGAGCGAGATGGATTCACAGAGTCGCTGCAGCAATGGCCTCCAACATCCTGGCTGTGAGGAGGTCGCCGGCCGAGCAGTGATGGTCCTGTCCAGTACACGGGCTCTGTGAGTCGGAGCTGACTGGGCAGCACCTAACCCCAACCGTCTTCAGAACTCCAGTGGGCATGGCCGGAGTGGCTGAGTAACCTGACCAAGCTGATCATGGTGGGTAATGCCCACCACTGACCCTTGTGTGGGTAATGCCTTTGGGCTGGATAAGCTATGAAATATGACACTGGTTATCGGTGGCTCCGGGCTCATCTTGGGAGACAAGGGACTGTTGTCAGTGTGGAAAATGTGACGGAAGTAGAGGGTATCAAAGATGCCAGGGGTGCCCTGGGGCATCCCGGGTGAGGTGACCAGCAGTCACTTGGAAATGGGAGTATCTGTGTCAAACGAGAAGCCCGGGCTGGAAGAGGCAGCCCTGGCAACCACTTACAGAAGCCTTTCTCAGGGACGATGGGAGGGTGGTTGTCAATGTGTAAAATGTGAAAGAGGTCTGCCGGCTTCCACTGCAGCCCATCTCAGTCCCAAGAGCCTGCTAAGCATCCGTGGCCTGACTCTCCCAGACAGCAAACCCTTCACTTCGGGGCCTCTGTACTGTACGGGTCTTGGGGTCTGTCCCCATTCTACAACCCTCACCTCACCGTACTCCACGGGGGGACTTGAGGAGGAATTGTAACAGACATTCTGTGCCACGCTCCTCTGTACACGCTGGCCATGTTCATGGCCTTTAAGGAAAGGAATGACTTCCAAATATATCTCACATGGCCCCATCTCCTCCAAGCGATTGCTCAGAATGTAGCCTTGGCTCAGGTGGCAGTAGCAGAGGGTGTGGAGAAAAATGGCCTCCTTTCTGCACCCCCCCCCCCCACACACACACACAAAGCCACCAGACACGTGGAAGTCCTCAGCCAGGCACTAAAAATCAGCCTCTGTGCCTTTGCCCTGCTGTTGTCTCTGCGTGGATGCTCTGACCCTTTCAGCAAGCAAAAGTCCAGTTCAAAGGTTGCCTTTTCTGGAAGGTTCTCCCCAGAATGCCCCTCTTGTACGCTCCTCTGGCCCCCCTCAACCCACACATCATCAGTCCTGTCTCTCGAAGCTCACACTCACTGCCATCATCAAGCCGATACAATGCACTGCGACCCGGTGGGACCAAGCGGAACCACTGCTGTGGGTTTCCAGGTCTGTAACTCCTCATGGGATCAGAAAGCCTCTTCTTTCTCCCTCGGAGCAGCTGGTGGTTCCGACCGCTGATTTGGAGGTAAGCAACCCAAATTGTGGCTCACGATACCACCAGGGCTCATGACTGTCTCTTAGCAGAGAACGTTAAATGCGCCATGGACTGCCCAGAGAATAAACAAGTCTGTCTTCGAAGAAGTAGAGCCAAAACACTCCTTAGAAGCTTTGACTCACATACTTGGGTCATGGCATGATGAAGGATGAGTCCTTGGGGAAGGAAGGACATCACTATTGGTACGGTTTAAGGTGAGCGAAAAACAGGAAGCTCCTCCACACAACGGCCAACCCAGGGGCTGCGGCAATGCGCTCAAACACGGCAATGGCAGTGAGGACGATGGTACCAGGCTGGGCAACACTTCCTGTGTTGTGCATCGTGAGAACCCACCCGACAGCATCTAACAGCCCAGCCAAGCAGGGAGTTCTCAGAGGGCAGAGAGCTGTGTTTTCGATCATTTTTTAATTTCCAAGACCCACCACCGTGCTTGGCGCTCAGCAGAGCCTAGTTAATGAGTGAGGAGGGGAGAGATCCTTGCTGAAGGATCAAGCCAAGGTCTGGACCAGTCCATTGGCCATGCCTACCCCACTCGGGGCTCAAGGCTTTATCTAAAGAAAGACGGCTGTGAGGCCTCCTGCTCGTTCAGGTTCTCTCCTGTTCTAGGGTTTCAAGACTAAATGACCAGGCCACCGGATTTGGCTGGGCTCGGATACCCAGTTCTGTTTTTCCTGGGCAGTTTGTGGGAGGAGCAGCAAGGTGACCTGGAGGGTGAGGTCACAGCCCACAGGCTAGGCACAGGGCAATCAGGTGCCAGTCTCCAACACTGACCCACGTCAACACCGTTGGACCTGGGATGTGACCCAGAGACTCTCAGGACTCAGTGATGTAAGAGCACATCCGAGCCCCCTACCCCCGATGTGGGAATGTGCTTTGAGCCACAGCAGTGCCTCTTTGATACCATAGTCCTGAGTGCCTCTGGCCTGACCAGAATGGCTGGCCACATGGATGAGTGATGAGGGGTTCAACAAGGCTGACCTGACTACCTCCCTCAATTCCAGAAGATTCTGAGGAGAAAAGAGAACTCACGTGGATTCTGTCTCACAGGGACCCTATAGGACAAGGTACCCTGGGGGTTCCCAGACTGTATCTCTATGGAAGAAGAGAGGTTCCTCATTCTCCCGCGGGTGGCTGGTGGTTTTGAACGGCTGAGCTTGTAGTTAGCAATCCAATATGTAACCTGGGAGGAGGTCATTAAGGGCGATTCAGGGTGGAATGCTGTGAAGTGGACCTGCCTTCATTGGTGCTCACTGCTCTATGACGGTCAGTCTCACTGCCATCGGGTCAGTGCCGACTCATAGTGACCCTATAAGATAGGGTGGAACTGCCCCTGAGGGTTTCTAAGTCTGTAACTTTTTCTTCTTTTTAAAAAATTATTAATCATTTTATTGGGAGTTCTTACAGCTATTATAACAATCCATAATTCCTTTAGATCAAGCAGAATTTTACAATTGCTACCACCATCAGTTTCAAAACATTTTCTTTCTTCTTGAACTCTTTGATATCAGCTCCCTTTTATCCCCTCCCAAACATGTATATTTGTAGTATCTTACACCACCCAATGTATCCGCTCACCTGCAATTCTGTTATTCACTCCCCTCCAGTGGGGTTATACCGTCACCATTGATATCAGCTCCCCCTCCCCTTATGCCCACGGCCCCTCTCTTCCCATACCCGCAGGCGATCATTACTTCTGTTACTGTTTCTGAAGGGTTATCTATCTTGGCTTTCATGCATCAAATACTGTGAATTATACAAATGAACATACACCGGTCGAACAAGATTAAACTAAGACCATAATAGTAAGGGGAGGAAATATGAAAGAAATAGAGGATAGGTATGTGTTTCATCACTGCTATACTGCACCCTGGATTTGCCATCCCTTTTGGTTGGCCCTTCTGCAAGGGACTGTCCGATTATCTTACAGATGGGTTTTGGGTTTCCCCTTTGTCCACGTCAATTTGATTACTTGGTTTTGAATTTCTGATCCCTGTTCCCATTGACACCCCATGATCACACAGGCTAGTGTGCTTCCTCCAAGTGGGCTTTGTTTCTTCCCTGCTAGATGTCCATTTGTGTAACTTCAAGACTATAACACCCCAGACAGTATATCTTTTAATAGCCAGGCACCATCAGCTTTCTTCACCACATTTGCTTCTGCACCCATTTTGTCTTCAGCAATCGTGTCGGGAAGGTGAGCATCATAGGTTCACATTATTAGAACAAACTGTGTAAGATTTAAGTAGAGGCCCAAAGTCCATCTGCTAAGACTGTAACTCTTTATGAGCAAAAGCCCTATCTTTCTCACCTCTATGTTGGTATACTCATACAATTCCTTCAATTAAAGAGAAATAAAATGAAGCCATTAAAGTAATAGAAAAATGTGAAATTCTTTTTTTTTTTTTTTAAAAGCTTTGGGTAGAGAAACACTTCAAAGGCCAAAAGCAAAAAAGGAAAAGATTGAAATATGTGATTTGA